TTAATGTGAGACTTAAACGACATGTCCTGATCAAAGATAACTCCAAGATTCCTCACAGTGATGCTGGAGGCCAGGGCAATGCTAACAAGGGAAACTCTATCTTTAGATAATGGATCACAGAGGTGCTTGGGCCCCAGAACAATAACTTTAGTTTTATCTGAGTTTAACATTAGAAAATTACAGGTCATCCAGGTTTTAACATCCTGAACACACATTTGAAGTTTAGCTAACTGATTAGTTTCATCTGGCTTGATCGATAGATATAACTGAGTATCATCTGCATAACAATGAAAGTTTATGGAATATTTCCTGATAATATTGTCTAAAGGAAGCATATATAAATTGAACAGGATTGGTCCGAGGACAGATCCTTGTGGAACTCCATGACTAACTTTGGCGTGCATGGAGGACTCATCGTTAACATGTACAAACTGAAATTGATCTGATAAATAGGACTTAAACCAGCGGATCCTTTAATGCCAATGAAATGTTCCAGTCTCTGTAATAGGATCTGATGGTCAATGTTATCAAATGCAGCACTAAGATCTAATAAAACCAGTACAGAAAGTCCTTTGTCTGGTGCAATAAGGAGGTCGTTTCACCAGTGCTGTCTCTGTGCTATGATGAGCTCTAAATCCTGACTGAAAATCCTCAAATAAACTATTGCTCTGTAGAAAGTCACACAGCTGTTTAGCAACTGATTTCTCCAGGATCTTAGAGAGAAATGGAAGGTTAGATCTATAGTTGGCTAAAACATCTGGATCAAGTTTGAGCTTTTTCAGAAGAGGTTTAATTACAGCTACTTTAAAGTACTGTGGTACATAGCCTGTTGACAAAGATAGCTTGATTATATCTAGTATGGAAGTGCTGACTAAGGGTAAAACTTTAAGCGACCTGTACGATGAGCTGTTCCAAACTGGCTACATCCCACCTACACCACAGCAGTCAGACGTCAGCCAAGCGTCTCAGGGGAGACGTTTGCGATCCGAGGTGAGCATACCACGGCGTCGCCAGGATCCTCGCTTCTCCAACGAAATATCCCCATCTTCCCGCAGCTCTCAGGCCTCATCCCATCAGCCAGCAAGATCAGAAATTCTCCTCTTCTACAAACCGATCCTGAAGTGGTCCGTTGCACGCCTTCAATGGTTCCTCAGAGGGAAAGGCAACTTTGTTCCATCTCTACAAATTCTACATCAATCCTCCGGCAATACCAACCACCGTGCCTCCAGTGCTTCCAGGCCTCGGCCAGCAGCGTCACGCACGACGTCACAGGGCCTCGACGGCCACAGCACGCATCTCCAGCTCCCCCTGGCAGGGATCAGGTCGTATTTCCCCATGTGCCTGCTCCCTCTGTGTCTGTGATGTCTCAGGCAATCTCTGCCTTCTTTTCATCCCTGTGCCCGCAGGCTGCACTCTCCTCCCACACACACACATCTTTTCATCCGATCATCCCTTCCTCTACCCTTCCTTTAGCCGCTCACAGCCATACAGCTTCTGCTCCTATCTCATTCCAAACAGTCGAAGCAGCATTTCAGGAGCCCAGCACAGCAACTCAAAGGGCCTCACCAATCATCGGCGGTGATCCTGAGCTTCCTACGTCTTTGACAACTGGTCTATTCTTAATCCCAAAACCCCCACCCCCCACCCCCTCCCTTACCCAACACCCGAATGTTTTTGCTTGTGTTAACAATTTTTCCCTGGCCACAGCAACTCCAGCAACTCAGCCAGCTTCAACAATCCATCAACCTTCATCTATCTCCCCCGCATTGCGCCAGCAGATTCTCGTTGGTAATTACATAGACTTAGCTCAGCTCCTACAACCATCCATAATCGACACTAGTCATCCTACGGAAATACAGACTAACCTCAGTTCAGAACAGCTCTGTCACCCTCCAGAGCTAGGGAATTAACACCTTCAGAATTTGCCCTAGCTTTTTCTCTCTTCCGCGACACAATCGAGGAGGAAGGAGTTTATGGACGATTATCTCTCTATAGTGTTAGTCATGGCTTTACAGTTCGGGGGGACAGGTTTCTATAGCTACCACGTGCATTTCACTAATCAGGCAGCCGGACTGTTCGTTAACTTTCTCATAAACGGCTACACACACGGTTTCCATCCAGGTATAGAAGTCCTCCCAGACTCTACGCACGCCTGCCACAACCTCCAGTCTGCTCTCTCAGAACCCCACATAGTCGACTCTTTACTAGCTAAAGAAGTCAAAGAGGGTTTTATGATAGGCCCATTCGACAAGCCTCCTTTTTCAGCGTTCTGAATCAGTCCTATAGGCGTCGCCACCCGGAAGTATTCCGGAAAAAAAGAATGGTTAATCACCATCACCTATCCTCCCCAAACAGCTCACTCATTCCAAGCATACACTAACATTAATCACACCATCAACTTCATCTGCATAGCAGGTCAAGGGGCTTAGCTTTCCAAAGCAGATATCACCAGCACATTCAAAGTCTTGCCCATTCACCGAGATTTCTGGCGTTTTTTCGGGGTTTGCTGTAAAGGAGCCTATAATTTTTCTCACCCCCTCGCGCAGGGCTTAATACTCTCATCAAAGCTTTTCACAAACTAGGCATCCCCCTCTCCAAAGAGAAAACCTCAGGGCCTAGCACCTCCATCGCATTCTTAGGGATCACCCTGGACTCAACATCCTTCCAGGCATCGCTGCCCGCAGAGAAAATACAGCGCATCTCTCTACTTCTCTTAAACTTTCTTCTAGCAGTCAGATGCACCAAACGTCAGCTGCTAGCCCTCTTCGGCCATCTCAATTATACCATTCGCATAATTCCACAGGCAAAATCCTTCTTGTCCAATCTCTTAACCACAGCCGCAGCTGTCCCCTCTCTCCATGATAGAGTCGTTCTGGACAAGGCATGCAAAATCGAAATGCGCCTGTGGCAACATTTCCTGGTTTCCTGGAACGGCATTTCCTTCTTCTATGAAGACTTCATCACCCAGCCTGAGCTGTACACTGACACAGCTCCTTCTGTAGGTTTCGGCGGCTACTACAGGGGGAGGTGGTTCGCCTCCGCTTTGCCCCCAGAATTCACACAATTCACACATTCCACAAACTATATCCCATCGCCGCCATTCTTTGGGGTCACAAATGGTCAAGGAAGTCCCTTCTCATTTATTCCGACAACACAGCAGTAGTTGAAATCTTAAACAATGGTTGATCTCGTTCTCCGGTCATCGCACAGTTCCTTCGCAGACTCACACTAATATCCGCCCAACATCAGTTCATCCTCAGGGCAGCTCACGTTCCCGGCTACCAAAACAGCAACGCCGATTCACTGTCTTGTTTCTCTTTCCAGAAATTCAGACACTTGGCTCCAGAATCGGACTGTCATCCCACACCAGTGCCACCGTTTTCAGCCTCAACATTCAACTAAATCCTCAGCTGAGAAACCTGTCTTACACCTCACAAGAAGCCATCATCAAGAGCCTCGTCCCCAGCACTCTCTCAGCCTACTTGACTGGCTGGAATCGCTTCAAGGCATTTCACGCCACATATCTGCTGCCATTTCCCTCTCTGGACATCATGTCCATCTTCAATTTCATCACCTATGCGCATTCCATCAAGAAAATCTGCTCCTCTACCATCCAGACCGACTTAGCAGGCATCAATTTCTTCTTCAGTATAGTCACTGGTTTCCCATGTCTGTCCACCTCTCATTCCCACATTAATTAAAGGCTTGAAGAAACAAGAATCCACTCTTGCCACTTACCTCTCACTTCAGACCTCCTCAGTCGCTGCATTCATTCTCTTCGTTCTTCGTCATCTGCCTACAATCCTTCCCGTCATCCCAGTCTGTCAGACATCACCATTCACACCTCTAACTCTCTCATTTTCACACTCCGAAGAAGTAAAACGGATCAGCTAGGAGTTTCCTTCCCCATCTACATCTTCCACCTCAGTGCTGTAGATCCTCACTTCACACAGAATTAACGGCTTTGTTCCAGGAAAGAAGACATCGATGTAGCGCCCCGACATGGTTGTATTACATGTGAAGTTATTCCACTCGTTTCGTTTGAAGTTTGTGATGTCTTTACACCTGGAAGAGAGAGAAAAATAGGAACGTACATTAAGAGGGAGAGAGGCAGAATTGATTAAAACCTGTCAAGTTAACTAATAAACGTTTTTACTTCGTCAACTAACATTAATTCGATAGTGTGAATAAATCATTTGAGTGCACAGCTCACCTTGTTTGAGAACAAAACCCAACACATTCTGATCAAAAGAAGTTCACTTCCATTAGTCAGTGTCACTTATAAATACATAGATGTTAGTATCCAACTTCTTTAAATGTAACTGATGAAAGTTATTATCCATTTAATTTTGCAGCAACACTACAGAAGCTGGAGCAATAGATTTCTAAAATGAAATAGCGTTTTGTACACAACAACTCTGTTGAGGCCAATATCAAGGAAAAGCACAGATATTTGCATTTGTTGGAGCCATGATGCACTTACAATGCGGGTTGACCAGAGACAATATGTAGTGTTATGTTGCAATAAGTTATAATATGTGGACAGATGTAAATATTGGTGTGGAGGTGCTTTGACTACTGAAATAAAAGCTGGACTCTGAGTAGCAACCAGGAAAGGTGACGTTGCTTGTGATTAGTGTATTTTAATGCAGGCAGCATTCAGGGAAGGGAGATAAGTAGGCCTACACATTCAGTTCAGTTCATTATGGAGAGAGAAATAGGCCAACAAGGTGAGTGAAGTTACTAGAACCTAAATAGCATTTTTTTTTTCACTTTTCTAATTGTATACATACATATTTTACACACACACACACATATATATATATATATATATATATATATATATACACACATATATACACATATATGTATATATATATATAGTCCTCACACAGTCTTTCTCTTAAATGTACAGTAGCCACATTTGTGCAATTTAAAAGAAACTGAAAGCATGTATCTGTCTGTGGTCATTTGTGAAAAAACTGCTGATGTTGCTTTATTTTCTCCTCCATAGTAAAGATGCTGTGGAGTCTGTTGTTCATCTCTCTGATTGGTAAGCAGATCACTTTGTGCACATGCATGTCAGCAATCTTTTAAACAGTTGATACACAGATGAGATTGTAGGGCAGAGCCACAAAAATGTGAGTCATGGATAAAATAATAAAACAGTTAATTGTGTTTAACTGCAAACTGCTCACCACCAAATATTTAAGGATAGCATTTTGAAAGATGAGTATTCTGTGCTTACTGTTGCCAGTAACTTTGACATGACTAAAATCTAAATATTGAAATGAAAGCAGGAATTCTTATATAATCTTCTGGTGTTTAACATTTCACAGGAAGTGCACAAAATGATGATGGTACAGGTAGGACTAAAAGCATTTCTTTACACTCATCAGTTTAATTTCTCTCAAGTCATGTAAAAAAAGTATAATATTTCTGTGCTAATATGTAAGGATTTATGTATGTAAGTATGCTACGTTTTGTTTTTTTTCATTTACAGCTCTCTGCAACACACAACTCCTACCACTTAATAGGACAAAAACATCCCAGAAATCAAACTACACAGACAAAAATCAACTCATCTACTCTTCTGAAAGAGCTACTGATGGGAATATGACGACATGTGCTATCACTGGGACAGAGTCAGACCCCTGGTGGAGAATTGACCTGCTGCGTGTCTACAACATTTCTTATATCACTATCTACAACACAGTTGCGTACAACACTGACATAAGCGGTGCTCAGATCCACATTGGGAGCTCAAGTGAGAACAACGGCATCACTAACAGCATGTAATACCTTCATGTTACTTTGAATTGCTTTATTTCAAATTTTTTCACAGCTCCAGTGACAAATTATTCCCAGCTGTGGCTTGGTTTCACAGAGTAAAAGATAAACCTAACAAAAGGTACTTGGTGCTGGCCGTATACTGTAAATATCTTTTTACACAGTCTGTGTGGTTTGTGCATCAATCAAAAATATACCATACAGACTGGCAGCTTAGTATACTTCATAGCCCCACAGACACTGGCAGGATTATGGGGTTTCCCTCTGGGTGTTGGAAGTGTCTGTAGAACTTCATTTTCAGCTTCTACATATCCAAAGCAAGCACAGACAACATTCTTCCTGCCCTTTCTGCCTCTTTCCTTCTTAATGTACATTCATATTTTTCTCTCTCTTCCAGATGTAAAGAAATCACAAACTTCAAACAAAACGAGTGGAATAACTTCACATGTATTACAACCATGTCAGGGCGCTACATCACTGTCTTCTATCCAGGAAATAAACCGTTAATTCTGTGTGAAGTGATGATCTACGGCACAATAACAGGTACAAGAAATGTTCTCACCCAGGTGGGCTTCTCAGCGGCACCGAGCGGTACTTACATTTTCCTCTTTAATGTACTGTGCCTTTGTCTTGCGCACAGCTGGCACTTCTCACAAGACCCAGCTCACAGCCTACTCTGTCTTGCTGACCTGGCTGGGCAGTGGATCTCTTGGTCTGTCTGTCTTGCTTGGCAGCCACTTCCAGCGCTGTGAGTGTGAAATACAGCTGTTGTGTTTATAAACATGTGTTCAGATGCACGTGCAGCAAATCAAACTCAGCTTTCCAGCAGCAACCTCTGTGGTAACTGGTCAAGATTAGTAACTCTTGACTAATGCAAAGTAGAAACCAATGGATTGACATTGATTATTGATTAGTTCAAGATCGTTTATTGTCAATCATCTATATACCGAGTAATGAACAAAATGCCTTTTCTCACGGTCCAATGTGCTAAAAACAAAGCCACAATAGCCTAATTCAACTTCCAAGACAAGACAAAACAAAAATTAGACATGCTGGCCAGCCCAAAAAAAGAAAGCCATTTATTGTTTAATGCAGCAGTCATATGTTGACTACATTAGACCAAAGTTACTGTGAATCAGTTCACTGATCACCTCACCTCCTCCTCCTCTCATCTCGCTGGAGCCTTGCACTCTGACAGAACACAGTGCGCCCACGGCATGCTCCAGGACATTGATGGTTGCAGGTCTGTGTAAAGATGTGGACGGAACGGTCTCCGATTTCCTGGTATTTGGCAGCAAGAGTCCCGTTTTCTCCAGACCGAACATTTACCGGGAACAGCCTTAAGTCCAAGCTGGGCCAGCATGGCTCTATCCCGGCTGTCTTCCCTCTCCTCTGGTGGCCACAGCACCCGCCGTGGTGCCTGGTCCTTTTTGATTAAGTAGCCTACATAAATATGCTTATTGAGCAGTAGTAGGCTACTATATCAACATAGGAAATGCTTGGTTAAAAGCAAAAATCATTAAGCATTGCATGTTAATTTAACTTGGTATTGTTTTGGACAACACTGTAAAATGTTTTTTTTAACTTTAAGAATAATTACTCTTTAAAACTTTATTGTGGAGTACATCTCTGTTATCATATAAAGGGTGATGGATATGACTACAGAATGTGACATCTGAATCCAGAAAAAAACATTCTTACTCAGTAATACATAGAATTGTTTCACTTGCTCTGTCCCTGAGATACAGTATTAGTTTGTATCTGTGTGGGGACACAAAATGACCCATCTGTAACTCTTACAGTGAACAACAACAAACATCATCACTTTTACTTTGTGTCATTTGTTAATCCACTTTTCACTGCTCTTTTTGTCTCAGCTCCTTCAAGCGCAAGAAACTTCAAATCAACAGCACAAAATGAGACCAGTATCACTCTGCAGTGGAATAAAGTGAACGACTACATCAGCTTTATTCTCCAGTTTAATGGTAGAGAGATCGACATCGCTGCACCAGATGGAGATGGACCAGTAACGTACACAGTCTCATCTCTCACTGCTGGAACTACATACACATTCGCTCTCTTCTCTGTGTTTGAGAACGTCAGAAGCAGTGGAGTCAGCATTACTGCAGTTACTGGTAAGATGTTTGACTTCATATATGTGTATTTAACCAGCCATAACTTTCCATAATTTTCATCTTGCAACTTGGGAAGCTACTGGCCAGTTAATAGTACTTACCGGCAGTAGAAGTTTTTTCCTTGTTACATTTGAACATTTTTCTTGTCCCTTGTTCATTTAATTAAGTTCATGTTGTCTTTGTTTCTTGTTTGTCCAATTTTACATTATACACTTAACATTACATTAGCTGGTTATTATTTTTACTCATTTTATTTTTATATAAATTATAAATGCACATTTCATTTTATTTTCAGTTATAATATATCATGCAACAGAAGTTTGGCTGATTTTTCAAGAACAAATTGTCATGGGGCGCTGAGTGCAGGCTGAGGACTGAGGTGTGGACCCAAATGCAGACGTAGGCGAGGTGGTTGCAGTTCAAACAAAAGATTTTATTCGAGCACAAACTAAAGTGAAACAGGCTTACATGGAGCTCAGGAAAAAAGTCCAAACAAAGGTAATCCAGAAAAATGCAAATCCAACATAAAGACAGAGTAATTCAAAACGGGGAAACAAATCAGAAATCAGAGCACAAGGCAGAACACTCAACATCAGACACAAGGACGTGACAAAGACTGAAGAAACAAGCAAGCATATATACACACACAGGAACTAACGACACAGGTGAAGGGAATTAGGACTAATCAGGCACAGCAGACTGAATAAGACAGAGTGCAACATTAAGGAAACCAGACAGGAAACTAATACAGAACAGAATAAAGAATAAACCGAAAAGACTACAAACACAAGCAGTCACAGATCCAAAAACAAAGGCAGAAGTAACAAATAAATCATCAAGACAACAATATACTAAGTAACAACAGGAACAAAGCTAGACAAAAACACCAGGCACAGAGGACTACAAAATAAAACAGGAAGTGAAGTTCACGGAACACACGAGGACAGATCTACCAAAGTAAAAATGGAAAGTAAAAATGGAACGACTGCAAAATCAGGACATGGACAGGACCAAACTAAAACATGGAGATAAAAGACTAAGGACAAAGATACAGACCATAAGTAATAAAACACAGAAGTACATCAACCAAGAAAACACTCAACATGAACTAAAGCACAGGACTAAGAACTACGATGAGAGACAAGACAGTTACTAAGAAAACTTAATGCGAATAAACAAAATAATAAACTAGACTACAAAACTCCAAACCATGACAATATCAAATAAACACAGGAAAAAAACTAACAAATAATCATTTCATCTTAAAATATTCTTCTTTCCATGTAAACAAACACCATCTTTCCAAAACATCTCTGACTCTGCGTCCTACAGCAAAACGCCCAAGTAAGTATTTGCATTACATTCATTTCATGGTCTGAGCCTTTGCTGCGAGCCCAGTTCATGAATGGATTTTCATCAGTTGATTGTAATGGATATCATTATCACCACTGTATTGTGTTTATCACGTTTCTTCTATTTGTTTTTCATTATTTACTATGTATTTACTTTGTTGCTAAAACAGAAACAAGTCTGTTATTCCTTATATTTATATTAAACCAGAAAATAATTTAAACACTGCATTACAATTGAATACATTCATAATATTATTATTATCATGTGAATTGTTCTATGTCACATGTTGTGTATTTATGTCAACAGATTATGTTCTTGTCATGAATGTGGAATTTGAGTTGTTGACTCAGCTGTCAGACTCGGACTTGCAGAGTGTGTTGGAGGAGGTGAGACTAACTGCTGTTGGGGTATTTTTTCAATGTCATGACTAGTATGTAATCACTTTTAATTTAAATAATGTACAAACTATTTTGTTCAGTATTAACATGGTTTTTCTGTGTGTGTTTGTGTGTGTGTGTGTGTGTGTGTGTGTGTGTGTGTGTGTGGCTTTTTTTAAAATAAAGGTCTTCAGACAATATGGATTGTCGCCACAGTTGTCCTTCAAAGTGTTGCGACGTGAGATCAGGAAAGACTAAATGAAATAAAGGAGGATGGATCTGCAAGTTATTTAGACTTTCCACAATTTGAATTGCTTTCCTTGAAGCGAATAATAAAAACTGATAGGAAAGACATCAGATTCCTGTGAAATGTGGTTCGACTTATTTTTTCTTACTGTATACTACTACTTAATACTTCTAATGTTATGCGGACAACTTGTTGTATGTATTGCTACTACCATTACATTGTTAAACATGTGCTCCTTCTTCGCATGAAAAAATCCAGAAACTATAAATATGCAAACTTTTTTCATTTGGAAAGTTGAACATATATTAAACTCAGATTTAAAGTTAGCACAGACAACCTTTTTCAGCAGATGAATGTAAATATGTCTTTTAGTAACAAACATCAACACATGCACCATTCTGCAGAGTGAAGCTCAAACATTCAGGTGAAGTAACAATAAAGAAAACACATTTTAGAGTGGAGGGGGACTTTAAACAATCCATTTCATTCAATTTTAATTGTTTTATGCCTTCAGGAAATCTCAAAGCGTTCCAGAAAGAGAAGACGGGCTGAGCTGGTGGAGGTGATCCAGAAGAAGCAGGCAGCTGGATTCTGCAACGGCTACTTACATTTAATGTGGTCATCGCATTTTGTGTGTGCAGTTTTGGGATTTGTGTGTATAGTTAAAAAAAACAAGCATCGTTTGTAAAATGTGTATAAGCAGTTGTGTAAAACTGTATAAAGGCAGTGAAACCACCGCTTTCCTCTTGGGAGTTTTGCTCCTCCGCTCTGCCTGGTACTCTCCAAACAACGCGCTGAAGCCTTCTGTGACATCCGGACAATCTCAACGCTGATGACGTCTTAACTGAAAACCCGCCTTGATAAGACTGAGAGATTGCATTTTCTTTTGCATTGTGTTCCACAAATATGGAGGACGGATCCTGACAGAATCAGAAATAAATACATAAATAAATAATTGCTCAATAAATAAATAAAATCCGATGCACAAACACAGTAAATAAATAAATGTAGGCAGTAATTAAATTATACAATGAGGCATAAATATATATATATATATCTTTTAATTAGCTTCATTATTAATTACCTCTCACAACTTTATTTATTGTCTGAGAAACTTATCTGAAAAGAGGCTATCAAGTCTTAATTATATGCGATGCAAGCACAACATAAAACATTACACATGTCACAATGTCCAGTTTTCAAAATAAGGTGTTAATACAACATATACAGAATGAATAATAAGATTACCGTAATTGTGTTATATTGAGTAAAAAGCATGTTACGTGTCCATTAAAAGTAATAAAAACACCAACATGTTTGAGAAATGAATTTATTCTTGAATTTTGGTTTGATGGACACACAATAGAGCAAACTACCCTAATGCTACTACCCAGTGGTCCCAAGAAATTCATTACATCAGTCTCTAGCTCTGTCGGTCTTGGTTAAATAGGTGAAATACAATTAATGGAGGTGAAATGTAATTGATGGACAGCTAAGAAATTGGAAGATAGTGAAGGCCCCTTTGGAGTCACAAACAATGGTCCCTAGCACCCTGAAGGCAAGTATGGCTGGAAAGCAGTTATATTAAAATCTAAACCTTTCTTAATCAAAAAATAGGAATTAAAACAATGTGAAGCACAAAGAGACAGGTTGGCTGAGATATCAATCATCCCATAAAACACACACTAGCTGACATGCAGTAAATATAATGACCAGCAGACACGTCAACCAATCGCAAGGGGAGCTCACAGTCAGTGGGCAAGGGGCACGTTTATCCAAAACACAGGATCAGCACTAAGCCAAACCATCAGAACTGAACAAAACAAAACAAGGAAAAGAAAACCACCAAGACAGTGACTCACTGTCTCCAACCCAAACTAAACAAAACAACTCTGTAGAGTTGTTGCATTCATATTATTTTGTACACATGGATGTAGAAAAGATAATGGAAAACAAGTTCGAATCCCACCAACTACGCAGCCGATCCCTACATGGATCTCCCCGACTAAGTTAGCCTCCCCCTAACGTTACATGGGGCTCTTCTCGTAACACTGGTCGCCACCTGCTACGCTGCGGCCAGACGCCAGCCTGACCCTGGGCTCTGTTGACAGACACACAGTGTGCCAGCTCTTCATGCAGACAGCGAAAGCATAACACACCTGGAGCTCTACAACAGGTGCCTTTCAGCCAATCACTGTGCGCACCGCTGAACTGACGGTCCGGCCAGACCAACTGCCCCACAAGGTCAGATGAACTGACACTAGCTTCCACCGGCTGCGTTTTTTTTTTCACATCTACTTTTCGTTATTTCGTCTTTGTTAATGGTAATAACCTTGGAACAGCTACATCCTGGAGGTCATTGACAATGTCTACAATAAATTAACATTCCACAGTGATCATCAACAGACGGGTTACCATTTCAGTTAAGTTCACCCTCAAAGGGACCTCCAGATGTAAAGGCAACTACTTTGGCATTAATGAAAATAAACCGACTCATAATCATCGGATTCAGCTGTCACATACTACGTTGCTTTAGGTACAGCAAATCCAGAATAAAGAGCAGTGGCACTGGTCGTGATAATGTGCAAACTATTTAAATTTCAACAAATACAACTGTTTGCGTACCTTCTCTCCTTTTAGTTGCAATATGCAAGTACTAATCTTAAAATACTTAGTAAAGTGCTGGTAAACAGAGCTGAACAACTGACAATAAACAATGACATCCTGTGGCAGCTATTCATTCATTATCGTGTATTTCTTGATTGTGATGTGCTACCAAAATAATATAGCCTTCAATATACCAGCCACATTTCATGGATTTATTTTGCATTTCTTTTACTTCATTGCATCATTTACAATAGCAAGTTGAGAAATGGGTCTATTCTACGGGTTCATCCTGCACTGTAGCAGCTATTAAAACCCAATTAATCCCGTCGGTCACAATAGTAAATGTGATTGCAATTTGAGTTTTTAACAGGCAAGTGGCTCAGGTAGTGTGTTTCTGTGAATTTTATTTAAGTCTTCTGCAGAAGGAACTCAATGGGACACACACGCATCAGAGTATCATCCAAGACACATGCCTTTGGTGTGAGAGACCAGGGTTCAAATCCCACTGTAACCCATCCACCATTGTGTCCCTGAGCAAGACACTAAACCCCTCGTTGCTCAAGAGGCGTGCAACCTCTGACCTGTATAGCAATTGTTGCTTTGGACAAAAGCGTCAGCTAAATGTAATGCAGCTTTTATCCTGTATCAGGGTAGTCCATAGGTGTAACTAGACAGTTTTTACTGGGGCATGTGCCCCTGTATCCATATGCTGTGCCCCAGTAAAATGGTCAAGGCCCCTTGGTGTCGTTTTTGGATGTGTAGGGCAAAGTCCGATCAAGTTAGCAATAAAATATATATATGCAACATCAGGTTACACCGGCTGGGCAGTGCCTTAGCAACATTAGTGGGACCCATAGGCGGAAATCATGGGGGGGGGTGTCCCCCCCTCAAAAATCGTCAGTTTAAGTAAGTTTAGAAACATTTTGAGTCCTCCCTTTCTTGCCTCACAGTGGTTTGGTCCACTGCCTGCTTTCCATCACAGGAGTCCGGTGGCAGAAAACCAGTTAAATCCTTCGGTAGTTGTGGAGCTGTTAAGCAGGCTGGCAGAGTTGTTTTATGCACTTTAAACATTGGATGAACTAATTCTTGTCTTTAATACAGTTGATGCTGAGTCATGAATAAATTAATCATGACAAAAAAGTTATGATAACCGATTATTTTCAGCCCACTCTGTTATAATAACATTACCTAGCTTATTTGGTAGCTTGTTTAACAACTTATTGGACTGGAACTCATATTCTAGAGATGCACAGATTGATCAGCTGGGGACTGAAATAGGCGGGGATTTTCTGCTTACTCGGCTCCGACAGTCACCGAGGCCGAGCAGGGTCAAATATCCAATTTTCTGCCGGTCACATTGAACGGTACAAACAGGCTGCGTGTTTCGCATGTGTGCACAGACAGTAACCTCATGTCACAGCCACACACGCAGGCTAAAACATGTCTGAGGTGCGTGGAAGTTATTCACGAGAGTCAAGAAGACGCACGCTCACTATTTACATCTGCAGAGAAACACACAGAAAGAGACGCAGTGGATATTTAAAGCAGGGAGCAGGTGAAGCAACAGTGAACACAGCTGTGGTCATTCATACCACGGCGGTCTCTATTAGTAATTAACAACAAGCCTCCTCCACAAATAAAGTCAGAGCAAAGAGAGACAGACAGGTGCAGGTGTGTGCTTCTGTGTCTGGGGAAAAGCAGGGTGAGCGGATTACTGTAGTTTGTGATTAAACACAAAAATAAATTGGAGAAATAAGAAGAATTAAAATGTTGTGCAATTTATTTTCAGCTCCTTCCAGTGAAAAAGCGAATGTTATTTAATCATTGATTATGACCAAACAACTGAGTGGACCCCAGTGAGAAAAGCTAACATTTATACTGGTGCTGATGGGGATCCTAATATAAATGAATTTTTTCAATAAATAATTTCAGGTCAGACCTTTTAAAAAATCCTTAACTGGAATGAGCCAGGAAAACTGTAATCTGTGCATCTCTTACTACAGCGACCGTAGATCCACCGCATTATGCATTATGCATTATGATGTTTAGTGGCAGATCAGTTGGCCTGCTGCTGTTAAATATTGAAAAGCCCATCTCCACCGAGGCAACAAAATCACACAAAAATTATCAATGGAAATCAAATTTATCAACCCATGGAGGTCTGGATTTGGAGTCACACTCAAAATCAAAGTGGACAACCACACTACAGGCCGATCCAACTTTGATGTAATGTCTGGCTCAGTAGTGTGTGGCCTCCACGTGCCTGTATGACCTCCCTACAACGCCTGGGCTTGGTCCTGATGAGGTGGCGGATGGTCTCCTGAGGGATCTCCTCCCAGACCTGGACTAAAGCATCCGGCAACTCGTGGACAGTCTGTGGTGCAACGTGGCGTTGGTGGATGGAGCGAGACGTGATGTCCCAGATGTGCTCAATTGGATTCAGGTCTAGGGAACGGGCGGGCCGGTGTATAGCATCAATGCCTTCCTCTTGCAGGAACTGCTGACACACTCCAGATCTCATCTCGGTACCTTATGGCAGTCAGGCTACCTCTGGCGAGCACATGGAGGGCTGTGCGGCCCCCCAGAGAAATGGCACCCCACACCATTACTGACCCACCTCCAAACCGGTCACGCTGGAGGATGTTGCAGGTAGCAGAACGTTCTCCACGGTGTCTCCAGACTCTGTCACGTCTGTCACATGTGCTCAGTGTGAACCTGCTTTCATCTGTGAAGAGCACAGGGCGCCAGTGGCGAATTTGCCAATCTTGGTGTTCTCTGGCAAATGCCAAACGTCCTGCACGGTGTTGGGCTGTAAGCACAACCCCTACCTGTGGACGTCGGGCCCTCATACCACCATCTGTTTCTGACCGTTTGAGCAGACACATGCACATTTGTGGCCTGCTGGAGGTCATTTTGCAGGGCTCTGGCAGTGCTCCTCCTGCTCCTCCTTGCACAAAGGTGGAGGTAGCGGTCCTGCTGCTGGGTTGTTGCCCTCCTACGCTCTCCTCCACGTCTCCTGATGTACTGGCCTGTCTCCTGGTAGCACCTCCATGCTCTGGACACTACGCTGACAGACACAGCAAACCTTCTTGCCACAGCTCGCATTGATGTGCCATCCTGGATGAGCTGCACTACCTGAGCCACTTGTGTGGGTTGTAGACTCCGTCTCATGCTACCACTAGAGTGAAATCACCGCCAGCATTCAAAAGTGACCAAAACATCAGCCAGGAAGCATAGGAACTGAGAAGTGGTCTGTGGTCACCACCTGCAGAACCACTCCTTTATTGGGGGTGTCTTGATAATTGCCTATAATTACTATGTAGTCTAGAGGACACAAGTTATTTATGATATAACCTATGAACTTAAGTCACACTTAAACAAATTACTTTGTGTTGTTGGCCAGAAAAATAGCAGTAAGACTTCTCTCTCTGTACACTAATCCTATACAAGTACAATTTTGGCTGTATTATTTGTGTGCCCCTCAAAAATTTCTCTTGAGAAATTTTATGTTTACTGATCCCAGCAGAAAACTGGTGAGTGAGTCGAGTCAAAGAGCTTCAGGAGAAGCTGGAGCAGGAGATCACTGAGCTGAAGAGGAAAGACGCTGAGCTGAAGCAGCTCTCACACACAGAGGATCACAACCAGTTTCTACACAACTACCCCTCAGTGTCAGCACTCAGTGAATCTACAGACTCATCCAGCATC